TTTAATTACTTAATTAAAATTTTTTAATTAAAAATTATTATAAAACTCAAGAATCGTTAAAAAGAATAAAAAAATCTAAATTTTAATATAAAAAATAAAAATAAAAAAACCCGTGTAACACACGGACAAAACAAAAACTAGTTCTATAATAAAAATATAATCAAGGCATTAAATTTATTAAAATATTTTAAATAATTTTTTATAATAATTTATTATTAATAATATAATATAAAAACTAGTTCTATAATAAAAATATAATCAAGGCATTAAATTTATTAAAATATTTTAAATAATTTTTTATAATAATTTGTTATTAATAATATAATATATTCAGTACCGGCATATTAAAAATATAGCCTGCGCCTTTAAAAGACACGAAATTCATCTTTACCATTCCTCTTTTCCAGTAGGCTTTGACCCTAATAAGTCTGGCCCAAAGCCGTAGAAATTTTATACATTTGGACTCGGAGTCCTGTCCAGTCAACAGTGGATACAACTTCTTTCCCATAAAAACTGAAGAAAAACGAACCGCCAACCGCGCAGGTTGTGCGTCTATATATGGCGGCATCTAGGGGTATACATATCTGGAATCAGCACCTAAAATATTACTTAAACTACCAAATCATCTACCATTTGCTACGTGGTCTAGTGTAAAATTATTTATACTTTTAATTATAGATTTTGGATTTAATCTTAGTCTCCACGTACTAAAAAAACTACCAAATCATCTCTGCTTCTCTGACTGTTGTTCTTAGGCTCATTTTCTCTGCTGCAGGCAGAAATCTAGTGCTATTGAATTCAGGAGGAGAGGAAGACACTCGAGGCGGGATGGGAGGATTTTAGCATTAGCCCTAGCCACAACAGAGGAAAAGAAGAGATGAAAAGTAAATCCGCTGCTGTTGAGATGAATTAGAGGAAAAAGGAGCTAGCTAGGAGCCTGGACATGGTATAGCCGCCTTCAATTTGTGCTTGAATTTTGACAGCCAAACTCAAATTAAATACAAAGATCAGTTAGGTTAGTCACTGTAAGTGTTATTTCTTTTTGCTTGGCGTAGGCTGTGTATAGCATTTAATCAAAGGCATAAATAGTTAACTTTTATCTATTTCCTAATTTCCATTTATTTCACCCAGCTAGTACTCTAGGATTGAGTTATATATATCGCTGCCATTCATTTTGTAAAGGTTATTTATTTCTTATTGATAAGTTTTATACATCGTATTTAAATGTTAAAAAAGTTATTTATTTTATTTATAATTTTATTAATTTATATTTTTTTAAATAACTAATTTTAATAGTTAAAAATATTTATTTATAAATTAATTTTAATTTATTAGATATATAGTTATTAAATATTTTTAATTATTAAATTAAAATAAAAATTTAATATTTAATTACTTTTAACAAATTTAAGACTGGCCTTAAGCAAAGCCGTACTCTCGTAGTATAGTATTATATAATTATTAAGCTTAATCCCCCTGTCCTTTCTCTTTTGTTAAAGGTATAATTATTAATTATACAAACTACCATCACTTAGGTAAGTTACCATTGCTATTGTTTCTCTTTTCCTGGCAGACATATGCTGTTTATAGCATTTACTCAAAGGCATAAATAGTCAACTTCTATCCAATGCCTACTTAATTTCCATTTATTACAACTAGCTAGCTAGTGCTCTAGTAGTATAGTATTATA